CACTCCGGAACCTACTTTCTTGACACATTCTGACACATCTTTTTCAGCCAAAATGTATTCGTGTTTTTCCGATTCCGTCATCTTCATCGTGCGCTCTAGGTCTCAGGCGTGCTGCTCGTAATCTTCCCCTACAAAAGTGGGAGCAAAAGTCATACTCCTGGAGTTTCAAGGGCCCATTACGGTAGGTAAGGACTGGAAATGATCCCCAACGCTGCGAACTAATTGTTAAGCTTCTGGAGACGGCTGACTTTGTTGACTGGAACCTGCCGGGCCAGGGAAGAAGTCGAGCGTTGCGCGTCGCGCCAAGGTTCGGTAACTGCTGACGTGGAACGTCCCGAATTTCTCTAGGCTTTACCGAAAACCAGATTGGAGGCTGCAAGGCTCGCCAAAGTTCAACGAAGCCCCTCCATAAACTGAGGCTGGTGAGGCAAAGTCTCATGGCTTTCTTGAGTCTTGACGTCTCCAGCGCCTAGGGCAGCATTCGCTTGGGAGCGATCCGTTGGTTCTGTTGGGCGAAGCATATGGGTCTGATGTTCTGAGTACAATACTGGTGTATGAGAACTGTATTGATCTGTGAAGATACGATAAAGTAGCAACCGACACAAGAAAAGGATGAAAAAGTGCATTCGCGAACGAAGCACAAAAAAAACGCCGCGATCCGGTCGCAGTTACGCGGTTTTATATGCTCTCTAGTTAAAAGAGCAGAAACACAATCTGGAAAGCAGAAGGACATAAGTCGGAGAAAAGGGAAATAAGAAGAAAAAGAATTGTGTCATGCTCTAGGAAACTTGGATGCAGAAAAAAATCGGAAGGAATTTGAAAGCAAAGGCGAGGAGCTGAAGCGTTCCGTGGGCAGATAACCAATGAGATAAAGCAGCAGTGCGCATGAATGTAAACATAGCGCCATCGGGCGTGCAGAAATGACTTGCTCCTCACAACTGAGAAGTGGGAATACACAAGGAAATGGTTTATATGGAAAAATAACTCCTAGGAGAATAGGCAGCAAAGTAGTATGAAGGTAATGACGCTCCGGAAGGAGTGGATCTTGTGGTGATGAAAAAGAAACAACGGAATTATTGAGAGCAAGAAAAAAAACCGAGGATCGAAAGAGCAAACTTGGGTTGAAAGAGTTCTCTTCAAAGTCGAATACTCGCTTGAAGCAAGATAGGCTTTTAGAAAAGTTGCAGCTTCTAAACTTGTCTTCGTTGATCTTCTCTTCGTCTTCGTTGCGAAGATTATTGTGCATCTGGAAGAGTTGTAGCATTTTCCTTTTTTCTGTACTGGAGCGAAATCATTGGCTCAACTCTTTGACGACGTCGTATGTTCGGAAGCTTTTCCGAATTACAAGGTGCTGAACGAGTTCCATTGGTCTGGTCATTACACGAGCTATTGTTTTTTTTCCTTATGAAAGCACTCTTGCACCCACAAATGTTCCACGATTTACTTTTCGCCT